CGAGGAGCAGGGCCTTCTCAGTGGTGGCCCCCCACCTGTGGAACTCACTCCCTGGGGAGATTAGATCGTCATTCCCCTTTGGCATTTAGGAAAAAACTGAAGACCTGGATCTGGGATCAAGCCTTTGGTCATTCTGACAGCTAACTGAAGGATCTGATGATAGACAAGGACAAATGGAATGGAATGGATATATGGACTCTGAACCATGAGCATGAGACTGTTTTTATTATTTTATTATGTACTGATGTTTTTAATTAATTGTTGAATTGTTTGTATTTGTATTGCTTGTGAATTGTTTTGGGCATCTAATTGTGCCCCCACTGTAAGCCGCCCTGAGTCCCCCCCGGGGTGAGAAGGGCGGGGTATAAGTAAATGAAATATAAATATAAATATAATATGCTGAATATGAGACTTAAGGATTTCTGTTTGGCAGTTTTTCAATCTTATTTGTACTTTTCTCAGTTGTTTTCCCACTCGCCTTAATCAACTCAAAATGTTTTTTGGTTTTCTTTTCCTAAGGTCTACACATCATTATTTACAAATGACAGATACAAAGTTTTTTCAGCTAAACCTTTCTTATGCACTTGCATCCTATCTTTTTTAATTTCCCTGATTTTTTTTCTTTTCCCCCTTCTATGTCTTACTCATTGTTTTCCATTCTTTCTCTTTCTCCCCTTGTTGGTAGCTTCTGAGTAATGTCCTTTCCTTCTTCCCTCTCATAAATCTTGCCCATGCTCATCTTGTCTCTTTTTCTTTGTTCTCTTATTTCTTCCCCTTATACAGTGATACAGCCCCTTGCTCTTTGATATGTTTGCCCACATTCATATGTCATCTCTCTCTCTCTTTTCTGTTAGTCCACCTCTCTCTCCCTCTATTACTCATATGTCTTCTAATGCATGCTGTTGTTGTTGTGTGCCTTGTTTCTAATCTATGGCTCCCCTAAAGCAAACCTATTAAGAGATTTTCTGGGGCTGAGAATATGTGACTCCCCCAAGGGGATGTCCATGGCCAAACAGGGAATTGATCCCTCATCTCCAGAGCTGTTATCCAAAGCAATGTAGTAGCTTAAATTTTCATATTGACTTCAAGCCCAATAAATGTTCTATTTCAGGAGTAGCAGCAAATAGAGTAAATGTACAATCGCAGAACATGAAATCATTAATAGTCTGCTGCTTTTATAATACATCTAGAATATATATCTTGAGGGTGATTTGTCTAACAATAGGGCCAGTTCTGACTTTCCTGCAAAAGTAAAAGGAAATAACTTTAATCATAATGGGATTCTAGTTTGATGTCTGGAATACTTCTTTTAAGTAGATGACATAGTTAATATTAAAATTAAAAAGACTAATACTATGATTAAGTATAGCACATCTTCAAATGCTTCTACAATCTTGTTAAAGCATGCAAGAAATCAGTTAGTGTCTGTGTGTCAACTGTAAAATAAGATGCATGAAGCTGATTGCTCAGGCTACACCCAGGGAGATGGCTGAGCCTGTGACTTTTGGTTACTGTTACATTTTCAGGCTTGAGCTATGCAAGTGCATGCAGAGAGCACAGAGAGATAAGCAGAGAGAGACAGATTTTGGAGTGTGCTCTCGCTTCATGAGCTGCTGAAGGAGTTCATCTACATAGACAAAGAAAGGCCATTTTAAACCTCTCATAAAAGGACATTATGTGAGTCAATGCAACTGATCACATGATTGTAAATATGGTGTTCTGAATTATGAAGAGTAAACTACTTGTTCTTTATTGATCATCTGCGTGGCATATTTTCTTTCCCTGGTATGGCAGTGTGTGGGCAGATCCAAAGTGATCTACCCGTGGTTTATTTTACATTATGCCATAAATCTTGCATCATTCAGTGCAAGGAAACACTCTGTGACTTGAAATTCAGATGGAGGAAAACCCAAGCTGGGGATCTTCTTTACCTCAGACAATCAGAGAAGGCTTCCACGCCATACTTGGACAGGCAGTAACCTCCTCCAAAGTACGATAGTCTTCCTGCCACGCTGGACATGTTGACAATCCTCCCTCTGGCTTTTCTCAACAGAGGTAGGGCGTGCACTGTCACATCAATAACCCCAAAGAGGTTGATATTTATCACCTTCATAAAGTCTTCCTTGGTCAGCCATTCATTAGGAGCTTGGGGTACAGCTATGCCCGCATTATTTACCAGTCCCCAGAGTCCTGCATGAAGAGAGAATTTCTTAATTTAGGGTTGCTTTTTCATTTCGCCTCCCATTTTTGGTAGGCTTTTCAACACTGGCTGAATGGACCCAGAGTCTCAAAAGCCTTGTGAACTTTGTGAAAGAATCTTGCTTTTCTAACAGCCTGTGTAATCTTTAACTTAGACAACTTTAATTGCTAATCACTGCAAAGTTAATTGTTGCCTACACTTGTCAACTTATATTACAGATGAGAAAGTGTGGGTTAGATTAACATTGCTTTCCCACTACACCATTATAGCAGTTTGACACTACTTTAACCGCTGTTGCTTCGACCTGTGGAATCCTTATAGTTTATGGCGTATTTAGAATGATCTGTCAGAGACCTCAAGGGCCTTCCCAAACTACAAATCCCAGGATGCTGTATGATAATGATAGTTGTTAATGTGGTATCAAATTGATATAATTAGATAGTGTAAAAAGATCTGATCATCATTTCAAGGTGGATATCATCTTCTATCCTGTCTTTTTCAACTACCTATTTTTGGACCACTCATTGGCATGAATATTACTTATGAGTTCCAACATTTTCAGAAGTACAGCATGGAGCCTGATAGATTAAGGGAAAATGCCACACTTAGAAGTTGGAAAAATGAAGGTGAAGTTCTTAGTTCATTGGCAAAGCTCTGCCTCTGAGCTCTTGAGGCAGGATTCGTTGGTTTACAGCTGAGGACTGGTGTCCACATTGCTCTGTCCTGCATATTATCTGTTCCAGAAAGGGGAAAAAGTATTTTCAAAGGACTTCCATTTTGGGGGAAAAATTGAGAAAGTCCACTACTGTACCTTTATTCCCAACACATCCTTTCACCCACTCAGTTGCTGCAGCCACGCTTTCTGTGCTGGTGACATCCAAGAGCGTGGTTTTCAGCCTTTCTGATGTGACCTTTTCCAGTTGATCTGCCCCTTTCTGGGTGAGACAACCTGCCAACACTCGCATGCCCTGGGCATCCAGCTGCCTGGCGAGATGGTACCCAAACCCAGAATCACAGCCGGTAATGAACACATATTTCTCTGTCAATTTCTCCACAGTCTGTCTCTCCAGGAACCATCGGCAGAGGAAGTAAAACCCCAAGAGGGCAGCCAGGTAGAGCCACATCTCTATAACCTGCAGGGAAGAAGTAAGAATTATGGGGAACACAGGACTCTTCTAATGAACATTGTATATATCAGTGTATCAATGTATATCAGCCCAATGCTACTCAAAGTGATTGTCACCAATTTCATGACAGTCACTGAGCTTTTAGCTTCACCCATGGTAAATTTCCAGGAAGGAAAGAAACAGCTGTAATTAATGTGCACAAATATGATGCTAGTTTTAGGAGTACTAGATTTTTTTACCAATCCCACATAGCAGATAACTTGCGATGTACTGATCTAGTATTTTTTAGTAATATGAATGTATAATCACAATCTTGAAGGTAAAACTTCTCACCAAAATTAAATTCCTGCTTTATCAGGGGCCCTTGTCACTAACATTGGATGTTACTTTTAGTACATGCATTATTTTCTTGTGATCATTATATTATATAGGGGGAAATAGAGGATTCTTTCACTGTCAGTTAGTAGATTTGCTTTATTGAGAATTTTTTTGGGGGGGATTCGATAACAGAAATGAAAGGGACATGAAGAAGTCGTAACTTTAATCACTTGTTGCTTCAGGGACTCTGAACTCTATTCTCCCATGAAGCATTGCTTCTAAATAATGACCTTGGCGTCATATTACGACTCCTCAGAAATCAGAGCAATCACCATTAATAGAATGTGATATCTCCCGTGCAGACAGCAATAAACATGGAATAAGATAAGACTCCAAAGAATAAAATAAGATATAGATATTTTAAAAGGGACTTTAGAATATAATAAATATAGAATGTATGATAAAATACATGGTGGATGCAATTAAAGCCTCAGTTGTGCTAGACTGGAAGGACCACAAGAAATGGTATATAAAAACTTGGTATAAAAATCTAGCTGACTACCTACACCAAGATAATATTAGTGAAAGGAAAAGTTATTATAAGACGGGCCAAATCAGAAGGACCTGGGAGGCAAAGTGGAAGGGTCTCATTTCCAGAATAAAGGGGAAAGATAGATATAAGGAGTTAAATAAGACTATTCTCATGATTGAACAATTGTAATAAGTTTAGCAAAAGTAGTAAACTGTTCCTGGGCAGGGGAGGGGGATGGGGATGTGGTGGGATTGAGGAAAAATACTTGTATTTTGATTGCTGAATTTTGAAGATTGTATGTTTCTATGTGTGTGTGTGTGTATCTATATCTATCATCTATCTATCTATCTATCTATCTATCTATCTATCTATCTATAAACAATTTTAAAAAAGGGACTTTAGAGAATACTCTAAATCGATCTGTTACTTAGGACTTTATCCCACACTGCTCTCTCTCTTTCCCCCTTTCTAAACACTTAGAATCCATTGAGGGTACGATGCATGGCAGAGCCCTTCTCATACTGCAGGGGAACTTCCCGTCAAATCTGTCACATTTCATTAGGGAAATGTCTAAAACATTCCAAAGAGAGGGAGTAGGAAGAAGACGGTCAGAGATAATTTTCTGGACTCAAGAACCGGATTATAACTGGAGAAAACACCCCAAAACATCAGTTGAATCGCTTTAGTGATGGGGAATAAGGGACAGTCCTCTACTTAGCATTGACATTTCTCTCCCAAAATCCTGCTTCATGAACTTGGCATGGTAATTTTTTAAAGCCAGGTTTCCCATCAAGTGTGGTCTGGTGTAAGATCAGCTATTTGGGTCTCCTCTAGAGCAGTGGGATCTGAGGGAAAGTCAAGTAAGCTTATTTTCTGAAGATTTTTTAAATTTTAAAAACAGAGTGCGTGGAGACTACACTGTGTCATGGGAAAAATCTGAAAACTGACAATGTCTGTAAAACTGGCAAGAAAATACAATGTTTGAAGAAGAATGAGAAATGGACGGATGTCCTTTATAATGCTATGGAACAAAATGCCATGGTAATATGATGCTTCCTCCCCGTCCCCACCATGGGATAGAGTTCTTAGCTTAGTGAATGCAAAGCTGGCTTTAAGACACATAGAAATGGAGATTGCAGAGTTGGAAAAAGTGCAGAGAAAAGAGACAAAATGAAGACAGGAGAAAATCTTATAGAAGCACAGTTTGCAGAACCTAGAATCATACAATCATTGAGTTGGAAGAGACCTTGTGGGCCATCCAGTCCAGCCCCCTGCCAGGAAGCAAGAAAATCAGTATACAGTAGTTTAGGAAAATGGCAAATAAGGGGCAACATATTAGAAAGAGAAAGCCGATGCATTGCTCCTAACACTAGAACCTAGCATCATCTCCAGGATATAAACAGCGGCAGCTTCAGGACAAATGGAAAGAAGTGTTTCTTCAAACAGCACATACATACATTATGGAATTTCTTATAAGATGCATAAGATGCCTGCCAGCTTATAAATTAATTGTGATCTGAATTATCAATGGCTTTGAAATGACTATATATCATTTCCAGTATTGGTGAAATTATATGTACATCTGCTGCTGGGGAATGTGTGAACAAAGGGTTTGGTTTACTCAGCAGCGTATGAACTTCCTTCTCCCATCTGAGAGAAGACATGTACATTGCAATGAAGATCAAAACAAGTCTAGAAACAGATGAAGCACGGAAGAAAAGAATGCATGCCCACTATTGTGTTCCTTCTCAATATAAAACTCCTATAGCATTCAACTTTTCCTGTGGTCTCTTTGTCTTATTTTCTAAGAATATATTCCAAGTAAAACCTGCATCTGCATTGATCACATTGTCACTAACTACGGAAAAAAAAGTAAATTTTAAATTTTAGGGAGAGGTTTATGCCTATTAAAATACACATAAATACCTTTTCATTAAACATTGAGCCACAGTGTAAGCTATGACTCAAAAACCTTAAAATATTGGGACAAACTAGTTCTAGAATATATGCAGAGATATTAACAAATTATAAAAAAGGAATATTTACAACTTGCTCAAGGATGATTGTGAGCCATGGTGATGTAATAAGTCTTTCCTCTTCAGATTTCCCCCAGTAAAAATGGCTATATTCTTATTTTCTGACCCAGAGCCAACAAAACATTTCTTAAGGTGCAGGGATATCTGGAAGTCATAAAATCATGAAGTTGGAAGAGACCACAAGGGCTATCCAGTCCAATCCCATTCTGTCATGCAGGAAAATACAATCCAAGCATTCTCAACAGATGGCCATCCAGCCTCTGTTTAAAATCCTCAATATTAAATAAGACCACGACACGCTGGTTTGTGATGTGATCAGGAATCCCATTCGTGCCATAGGGAAAAAGGCATAGCCAGCAGGAGAACAAATTATTTCTCCTTTCCAGTCCCAAGTATGAATATTGCTGAAATCACAATGCATACTTAGTGGTCCCTTCCATTTGTTGATGGAACCTCTGGGTAGGTTGGCTTTTTTTCATGTCAGAAGCAATTTAAAAAACTGCAAGTTGCTTCTGGTAGGAGAGAATTGGCTGTCTGCAGGGACGTTGCCCAGGGGACGCCCAGATGTTTGACGTTTTACCATCCTTATGGAAGGCTTCTCTTGTATCCCTGCATGGGGAGCTGGAGCTGCCAGAGGAAACTCAACCTGCTCTCCCCAGATTCTAACTGCTGATCTGTCAGTAAGCAGTCCTGCCGGCACAAAGGTTTAACCCACTGTGCCACTGGAGGCTCCTTGACTAAAATTGTTACCTGTCTTTTGTACACTTTATCATCTTTCTGACAAATTCTGAAGAGAGCTGACTTCAATAGGACTCTTGATCCAGTTCTCCAGATTATTCCAGGAAGCTGAGTTCCCCCATTGCGGCATTGAATGGGATTGAACCCCTTTTGCCACACCATCCCATACCCTATATTATCTTACCTTAATTCCGAATGGCTAGGTCTCCTTACACGCTGGGAGAAAAGACATATGATTTCTTCCACTTATGAGAGCTACTCTTATACGTTAGATTCTCCACTCTTTCAGAGGACTTTGGCCGTAGAGCTTTGAGAACTTTGGCATCTCTTTTATTTTATAAGGGGCCGTACCAGCAGAGATATTTTCGTCTGTTGAGGCATTGATAACACACTGACCTTGATAATATGTGAAGTGCCTCCTTTTTATTGCTCTTTTGGTAGCTCTGTAATATAATAACATGACTACATAGTAAGTTCTGAGATTCCCATTATAAATTGGCATATGCTCCCAACCATAATAATTTCATGTCAAATGTTATATATTTGCATAACTATTATGTTTTGTGTAGATAGGTAAAGGTAAAGGCTTTCCCCTGACCTTAGGTCCAGTCATGTCCGACTCTGGGGGTTGGTGCTCATCTTTATTTCTAAGTTGAAGAGCTGTAGACGCCTCCAAGGTCATGTGGTCATTACCTTTCTGTTGGAGTGGTACTTATTGATCTACTCACATTTCCATGTTTTCGAACTGCTAGGTTGGCAGAAGCTGGGGCTAACAGCAGGAGCTCACCCTGCTCCCTGGATTTGAACATGCAGCCTTTTGGTCAGCAAGTTCAGCAGCTAGCACTTTAACCCACTGCACCACCAGCTATTTGTGGCTATTAGTTTCTATTGGATGATGCTGGGCCAGGCACATTGTATCTGTTAATACAGAAGATGCTTGTGGACTTTAATGTTCTTGGAAGAATTAGCAGCCTTTAAAGAAACCTCTTTGAAGTCTTCATGACATAATCAGGACTTTGTTACAGGCCTAGCATGCTTAAGAACTACATAGCCTCCAACATTTCACAGATGAAAACTGGAATACTTGTAGCTAAGCAATATGCAATGTGATCAGGAAAGCAAATATTATTAATGAGGATGAACACACAAGTCAGAAGAGGCTGAAGCAGTTTGTGTTTCTCAGAGTCTGCTGGGAAGGAAAATATTTTGTCGCCTCCTCTTTTCTGCTTCCTATTGACCTAACTTGAGTGCAAACTACTTTTGGTATTTGCAGTAATTTGCCCCCCCCCTCCCCCAGTAACTGAAATAAGATGAGGACAAAGGGGGAAAACGGCAGGAGAAGCAAGAAACCAGGACATTTTAAGAGCTAAAAAATAGGATAGCAGCGGATTAATCGAGATCATTCCTCCTAAATTACAATAGTTAATGGGTATCGAACTATAGCACCTTTCAGACTATGGCTCTCTAGAGCAGTGGTTCTCAACCTGTTGGTCCCCAGATATTTTGGTCTTCAACTCCCAGAAATCATAAATGCTGGTAAACTGGATGGGATTTCTGGGAGCTGTAGGCCAGAACACCCGGAGACCTTGTGGGCCCATATATAGAAAGCAGCTACGAATCACGCTCTGTCCACTGTTTGGGCCAATGAGAGGAAGGAGGGCAGCACTTTGCTTGACTCAGTAATTTCTGCACAATGGTTTTTGGAGACCCTCATCCCAAATTTGATTTCTGTCTCACAAAAGAATAATAGAGGGTTATAGAGGGTTATGAAATGTTAAGGTATAAATAATTGTACAACCAAATCTGTTTGTTCATAAGTTTAATGAGCACTGAATATTCACTCTTTTGTAAATCTTTTGAATATTTTTTTCTTTTTTCATTTTTTCCTTTTGTTTAACTGTTTTGTTTTCTACATACACTATAAAGTAATAAAAAAGTTTAAAAACCCAAAAGAATAAAATACAAGGTTCACTGGCTTCTATGTTAGGCAAAGATTCTTGTCATCAGTGCAGTTGGTTGGAAAATGTTTGAGACTTACCTGCATTGATCATTGAGGATTTTTTTTTCGTGTCAGGAGTGACTTGAGAAACTGCAGTTGAGGATAATGGTGCTTGACAATCTTTATTTCCATGGAAAAAGAGGTACAGGTAATGTATGAACAGTACTGTTGGGGAATCTGAGTTGTTAGGCTTAAAATAACTCTCAGTTGGGGTGATTCCACGGAAAATATAGCAGAGTACCAGAAGTAAACTTGATAGCCAGAAGAAACTTACATGGAAAGAGCTGGGATAAGCTTCTATTCTTAGGATGGTGCAGAATTAGAGTCAGAACCTTAGTTAAGTTCAAAAATATTTATTGAAGTAAAAGAAGTACATTCTTGATAGAAAAAGTCTTGGAGCTAACTAGCTTACTAAAGCCCATCTTCTAAGAAAAGGTAAAAGGTAAAAAGTCAAAAAAGGTCATGCAGCTACATTTTGCCTAGAGAGAGGCAAAATGCTTCCTCACTGGAAGGAAGAAAGGGAGAAGAGAACAATGGTGGAGACCACATGATCAACTCAGAGCAATAAAACTTAAAGAGGAAGTTCCCTTCCCTCACAGAATTCCATTCCTGTGTCATCAAAGCAGGAGGAAACAGTGGCTAGCAGGAGGAGGAGAGACAATGCCCTTTTGGGAAACATGCATGGGAAAGTGGGGAAAAGAATCCTTCAACTTAGCTCTGTCTCTAGCCTAGCTACTCATTGAGGACTGGAAGCTTGATGACACAAGAGACTAATGTAGTCCAGGGAAGAAATCCAACAATTACACTGTGAGATGTTATAACCGAGCTTTGTGCTATAGTTGCAGAGGTTTTTAGGAAAAGCTGGTGAATTCTAAGAGGAAAAAGGGATGCTGGAGGAGAGCAAAACAGATTATTCAGGTGAAGAAAACCTTGCCAGCATCATTTCATCTCCAAACTTTTCTTGAACTTCTTCATGTTTTTCTGATGGCTTGGTTCAGTTTGCTCCCCTTTCCCTGAGGATTCATTAGTCTCCAAGATGAGAGATGTTTTCACTCCTTGGTCTCTTTGTAGGTGGGTTCACTGAATATTATTTATGGCGTGAGAGACATTTAAGTTGACATAATCGCAGCCAAAATCTGACTTCCAAACAAGTACATCTCAATGATTCGAATGTAAGCCTTTAGTTCAGAGATCAAAGGTAAAAATGAAACACACACACACATTAAAAAAACAACATTTTGACTGCTGAGATTGTATGTAACTGTGTCCATTGACACAACTTATGGACTTTATTCAACTCTTTCCTGTAAAATTACCTACACTGCCTGTGCTGGTTTTGGGGCAAAGCGGGTCATCACATAGTCTGCCACAAAGGTTGGCATATAAGACAGAGGAATGTAGAAGAGCTTTGCATCCAAGCCTGCAGAGTAGCGTGTGCGTGGATACCGGGACATCAGGGCATGCTCCATGCAGTCAGTGACCAGGTAGAGGTTGGTGTTGGCCTTCTTTATGTAAGCTTGGCTTATGAGGGTGCAACCTGTTTGTGAAACATATGAAAGAAATATGTAGTCCAAGGTCATATTTGAACTGGATCGAGTCTGGATTAGATCAATTTGAACCAATTTGGACCGCATCTTGGCCTATGAGCCCACGAGGACCTTGAGATCGTCTGGGGAGGCCCTTCTCTTGATCCCGCCTGCTTCACAGGCACGTCTGGCGGGGACGAGAGAAAGGGCCTTCTCGGTGGTGGCCCCCCGGCTGTGGAACGACCTCCCTGAGGACATCAGACAGGCGCCCTCCCTTCTGTCCTTCCGTAAGAGCCTGAAGACCTGGCTATTTGAGAAGGCATTCAACTGAGCGCTACGGCAACTGGTAATTGACAACTGGAACGGAATACGGATTACGATATTGGTTATGATTCTATGATGTGACGGAGCGGATTATTTAGTGTAACTAGATTATAGTGTATTATTGTTGTATTGATTTCCTGTTTTGCCCTTTTGTAAACTGTTTTTATATGTTGTGCACCGCCGCGAGTCGCCCTAGGGCTGAGAGCGGCGGTCAATAAATGCAGTAAATAAATAAATAAATAAATAAATTATGCTGAAGCAGCAACAAAATGTACCTTAATACGAGTCAGATAGTATGTCTTCCGAATATTGCAAAATAGCTTCCTGTAAGGAAGATGCCAGAATGGTAGGGTGGGAAGAGGAGGAGAGTTAGACTTTATTTACTGGCTGATCCTACTTCCAGTCGGGCCAAGAATCTCACTAGCACTCTCCAGCTGAAATGCTTCGGGAAAGGAACAGAGTATATAACCAGATAGTTCCTTATCTATTGTGTTCTTTAACTGGTTCTTACTAACAACAGGATTGTTTTAAATAATTTGTTGGAGCTTTGTGCCAGTCCTCTGTTTACTTTATTTTGCTTTTCTTGATTCTATCAGGATTCAGTCTTTGATTCTCCGTTTCTAGACCCCTTCTACACTGCCATATAAAATCTAGATTGTTTGTTTTAAACTGGATTATATGGTACTGTGGATTCATATAATCCAGTTCAAAGCAGATCATCAAGTTTGATACTCTGGATTATATGGCAATGTAGAAGGGGCCTTAGATGAGTCCCAGCTGAAGCCACATGAGGGCTGTATCCCAGCTTCCTGAGCATTATCTTGTACTAATATGACCTTGCTGAGGTGACACTCACTTGTGTAAATCTGGACTCAAACAGCTGTTGAAAACCACACAGTTCCAACCCCACACACCAAAACTATCTTGGTACAAAAGGGCATTTTTGGTACGCACATTTGTGGTATCAGATTGTTTTGGTCACATGGCCACAGCCGTTACTTCTTTTTAATTCCTGACACAAGTAAACCTGACAACCAACAATCTTTCTGTTTTCCAGCCAATCTTACCACCCACCTTGTACTCCTTTTGAATGTACTCCCTGTTCAATCTCTTTCCTTTGCTATCTGAGCGAGGGAATGAGCATGCGGACTTTAAACGTTGTGGCCTAAATTGAGGAGGCATTTAATTCTCTCAACAGAGAGACAAACAGACAAACAAGGTAGAGGGAGGCTGGCATCTGTGTCAAAGGCACAGGAGCAGTGGGAAAGAATGGCTTTCTCATCCCTTCTGCCATCTGCCCCCCATCTGATCCCCTGCCCAGTCTTCCATTCTAAAGACCCCAAACAAAACAGCAGCACCACAGTCGCTACCTACCAACCAGCAACTCTTAACCTGTCCCCCACAATCCACCTCAATCCAAATACAGGCTGTAGGACAAAGGCAAAAAAACCCTCCAAAACAAACAAACAACCCCCCCAAATACCCCCCAAAACAAAAAAACCCCCAGGTTTTTCCATGAAAGTGCAGAATAAAAGGGCTATTTAAGCTGATTAAATCTAAAATAAGTGATTCCACTTTCAAAGCTGAGGAATGTTGTGTACCAAAAATGAGTAAATGATTAATTATTTTGCAGGTATGGATTCAGGTCCACACTTCTTTAGCACTAGCTGTTTATTTATAGGGGACTGTGCATTGGGCATGCTATTAAAGTGTTACTTTAGTAGGAATGTTCTTAATTCAACTTTTAATCTTTACTCTTGATGTGGCTCCATTTTAAAAGTTTTAGTTTGATTTTTATTTCAGACTGTTTTAATTGTGGAATGTGTTTTTATGCCTGTTCTGTTCTCTGTCTATCTCAGTGGTTTCCAGCATTTTTTTGACCAGGGACCACACTCCAACATTAGTACCAAAAAGGTTAAAAATAAAATTATGATCAACTTTAGATTCAGTTTGTTATTTGGGGTGCTGATTCAGAAAACTGCATTGGACAGACCACATCAGCTCTAGTTTCTGATACAGAACATATCTATCCAGTAGTTGCCATCTGCTTGCCCACAAAAACTATATTTAATAAGCCTCGGCACTATAAGAGAGTTTTGCGAGACCAGTCGCTCTTGTTGCAATGGTGTAGTAATGGTGAGGCTGCGGACCATATTTTAGTTCTTGTGAACCACTGGTAGTCCACAGTTTGGAAATCACTGGTTTATCTAGACTATATATGAATAGGATGTGTGAACTATGCACATATCATAAGCATTAGAACAGAATTAGCATGCACATATTGCACAGATACTACTGTTGTGCTGAAAGGCAGTACACATATGAGAATAGCAAGAATATGGAAAAATGAGTTAAAGATATTTAGCACAGACTTTGGACATTTGTGTCTGACATTACATACACATTGGAGGTATGGTGATTTCTCAAAAATTCATGTAGTTTTGATGAGGAATAAAAACATGGCTATTAACATTCCTAAATCAAGGCAATTGTAGGTGCAAGTATTTGTATATTGATACTTTAGTTGGGATTTAGGCCTAAATTGGGTCAGATGTAATCCAAACTATTTTCAACTGAATTGTAGGCCAGTCCAAATCCTCAGATTCTGGGCTGTGGAGGTTAATTACATGAAGCTTGAAGAAGTTTGAATGGGAGGCTTAGAAGGTGGTTGTGTTTGTCTTTCCTGTGTTTTTTATATCATGAGGAATACACACACAGAGAAAGTCTTCAAAACAGATTCCAGAAATAATGTGTCCAGATTACTCACAGCTCTCCAGGTATTGCTGCCCATAGGCTTGTTTGATGTCAGAAGGTGCTCGGTCCCATGTTTTCCTGAAGTTCTCTTCCACGTTGTTCAAAATGTTGGTAGTGAAAACACCGGGTTCAATTATGCTAACTTTAATGCCAAAGGGACGAAGCTCTCTCCTGAATTGAAAGAAAAAAGATAACCTCATCTGTAATAAGACTGCTACATGTGGTGTTTTGTATTTTTACTGTGATTGAAACATGACTCCTTTTAGTAAGGTTTCAATCCCAGGAATACGCATGTAGCATTGCAGACATCCCAATGATTCTAGCCACCTCTCTCATATTTTCTGTTTATTCCTTTACTGGGACATTATCACACAAGGCTCTTAAACTGGTTTATATCATTGCAGTTCTGTCTTGTCTGAGATTAGAGCAGTGTTTCTCAACTGGGGGTTGGGACCCCTGGGGCGGGTTGCGAGGGGGCGTCAGAAGGATCACCAAAGGCCATCAGAAGACACAGTATTTTCTGTTGGTCAAGGGAGTTCTGTGTGGGAAGTTTCACCCAATTCTATCATTAGTGGGGTTCTGAATGCTCTTTGATTGTAAGTTAACTATAAATCCCAGCAACTACAACTTCCAAATCTCAAGGTCTGTTTTCTCCAAACTCCACCAGTGTTCACATTTGGGTATATTGAGTATTCGTGCCAAGTTTAGTCCAGATCCATCATTCTTTGAGTCCACAGTGATCTCTGGATGTAGGTGAACTACAACTCCAAAACTCAAGGTCAATGCCCACCAAACCCTTCTAGTATTTTCTGTTGGTCATGGGAGTTCTGTGTGCCAAGTTTGGTTCAATTCCATTATGATGGAGTTCAGGATGCTCTCTGATTGTAGGTGAACTATAAATCCCAGCAACTATAACTCCCAAATGACAAAATCAATCCCCCCCAATCCCATCAGTATTCAGATTTAGGTGTATCAGGTATTTGTGCCCAGATTGGTCCAGTGAATGAAAATACATCCTGCATATCAGACGTTTACATAACAATAGCATAATTACATAACATAATTACAGTTATGAAGTAGCAACGAAAGTAATTTTATAGTTGGGGATCACCACAACATGAGGAACTGTATTAAGGGGTCGCGGCATTAGGAAAGTTGAGAACCACTGGATTAGAGTATGCCTGGCTTGCCTCTGTTCTTATTGCACAAAGCTATTTGAGAAACTGTACATTTGTTTAACTTTCCACTTCTACTAGGATATAAATGCTCCCAACCTATGCATTTCCCTCTTTGTCTATGACCCTACATTTTCCTCCAGGAGAACTGCACAACTCTGAAACATCACAATCTCATGAGATTGGGCTTTCGCATTGTGAGAGGTTTACAGATGCGCAGTTCTATACTTGTGCATTTTCAACTTACAGTAGATCTCCATACCAGCAGCTTGGTTCAGCTACAGAGCTGCACAGTTTGCCTGATTTTTTTCTTTAAAAGGATGTAAATGGGAAGAAGAAAATGGGAACATATGGCTTCAGTGGTCTTCACTATCTGCCTACTAGAAGATGAAATAGCAATAGTTTAGGGACAGGGAATTGTGGCATAGAAAAGGAACACCCACAGATGTCACTGATCTCAATCGACTTCATCAGAAAGCCCTGGCGAGGTGTCCCACTCTGCTGGGCTTTTGAGGGTTGGGGGTGCAAAGAGAGAGCAGTGGTGTGGATCTGTAACCCTGGCACACAGCTCCCTCTCGGTGACGCTTTCCCCATCACATGTGGAAAGTGTCGTCATTGTAGTGAGGCCCTATGCTGGCTCCATTAGAGTGAAAATGTACAGTGACGCATTGGGGACGGGGTTTCCACACAACGCTCCCTTGCATTTTCTGATGGGCGGCGAACTCATCATTCCTCCAGATGGGGTGGAGGTGTCCTAGGATGCTAAAATCATCCTGTCTGATGAAGTGGAAAGTCACTGCAGAAGCACCTTGAGTTTATCACATGACTGAAAATACTTGGAAGACTTTGTAAATGCATGTTCAGCACCACTAAAAGAGCTTTCCCCTATTTTCTACAAACTTCAATACAATTTGCAGATCAGTTACCAGTGACCATGTCATGTGAAGATAAGTTTTTTTTTCATTTATGTCTAGGGAGACTCAACATATATTGCAAGCCTCATGTAGAAAAATCCATGGTGAAGATAATTTTAAAAAAATTCCGAGATATTATGCAGTTTGGTGAAAACCTCTCACTCTCTGTCTTTCATACATATGCATTGATTACCTAAAATTGAACTAGAAAACTCTTAAATGATACAATACAAGCCAGGCAGCAGGAAATAAGAGGTGATACCACCCCATCTCAGATTGATAGTTAAAAGAAATTAATTAATTAGCTAGCTAGCTAGCTCTTCATTAATTAACAACTAATCAATTACTTCAAAGGCTTATTTGTTACTCTAAAGTTCATGTTTTTCAGGACCATACCCACACAGAGAAAAAAAAATGAAACACCCATGAAATCTTCTGTAGTGGATGTTTATCTTACAAATAATCACTGAGAGAAGTTAGAAATGGTAAAAGGTAAAGGTTTTCTCCTGACATTAAGTCCAGTCATGTCTGACTCTGGGGGTTGGTGCTCACCTCCATTTCTAAGCCGAAGAGGCAGCGTTGTTCATAGACACCTCCGAGGTCAGGTGGCCAGCATGACTGCATGGAGAGCCATTACCTTCCTGCCAGAGCAGTACCTATTGATCTACTCACATTTGCATCTTTTCGAACAGCTAGGTTGGCAGAAGCTGGGGCTAACAGCAGGAGCTCATGCCACTCCCCTGATTCGAACCTGTGACCTTTTGATCAGCAAGTTCTGCAGCTCAGCGCTTTCACCCACTTTGCCACCGGGGCCCCTGAGATGGTAGTGTTGGACAAATATTCCATTTTTATTTGGCAGGAGGCAGAGGAAAAGGAGTAGGTGTGCTGTGTCTTGCATAACTTTGGCTGTGCAAATACTGTTGAGATAACATGCTAGCAAACATGTGGGTTTTATAAGCTCAAAAGGATAATGTAAACCTCTCTTTACACCTTTTGTGGAAAGAAATCCTATTGGAAACAAAAGAATTTACTTTCAGGTTTGCCATAGGGGACTACGATCTCTGAGAACCTTCGTGAAAAACAAGGCTGTTTTAGTATCAAAGACTTAACAGTAGGTTGCAATCCTGCATTGGAAGTCTGGTCATCCTGAGCCTTTTTTGTCCTCAAGGATCTCCTCTTCAAGCTAATATTACACTGAGATTTCCAATTGATAGTCTTATATCTTTTTTTCTTGGTTTTCTTTCTCAGTAATCCTGATTTGGCTATGATTCCCAATGTCTTGGCTTATTGCTAGAGGAAGAGTTAGGTATAACTCTGTATAAATTATGTGCTAGGTACAGTAAATGTTTTATGATATAGTAATAATGGTGTTCCATACACTCATTCCAGCCACATGACCTTGGAGGTGTCTATGGACAATGTCAGCTCTTTGGATTAGAAATAGAGATGAGCACCACACCACAGAGTTGAACACAACTAGACTTAATGTCAGGGAAAACCTTTACCTTTAATAACGGTCATACCTTTTAACAAAATAAATAAATAAATCCAGAAACAAAATGAAAACCCAAAACCTCACCTGAACAGTTAGTTTTGTGTGATAGCTACTAAGGACTTTATCATATTGGGATATACTCTGTTTATACCAGTACGCATCCCATATTTTTTAGGGCTGGATACATACTGGATTCAGATGGGATGCATACTGACCCCTTCATACCTGATTCTTAGGTTTGGAAAAAACTGCGCTTTGACTGATGACACCACGGAAATCTGACTCCTTCAAATCCTTTCGAATGCCTCCCTACATCACTTTTCTTTTCTAATATTGTGCAGTGACATAGATGGAAGTCTCTACTATTCTTGCGGGATTTCAGCTGATGGAATGCATATTGATTTTACGATCACATGTAAAAAAAGCGCCTCAGAACCATATTAAATTTTAAAAAACATGATAAGAGTCCCATGTGCCATTACCTCATTTTGCACACTGATTCCAATGGATTACTGACAGAATTGACAAATGCCATATGTTAGGTAGGATCTACTCGGAATCACGTTCAAAAAGTCTCAGAAACAGGGTATATTCCAATGTTATAAGACCCTAATTCTAGCTTTCAGCTTCCTCCAAATCTTACTTTATATAGTAGAGTACAATTTTCCGCATTGCCATTCACAGAAGCCACTCTTTGCTTGTAATTTTAGATAGAATCAGTTGCTACAAAACCCAATACTATGAAACTTAGTATTTAAAGAACTGATGCTAGTCACATTATATTGTGCACTGTGTCTTTTGCATAATATGATTCTTCACTGAAGCCAAAAAAGGATAAATTGAGATTGTTCTACTCTGGCCATATCACGAGAAGGCATGACTCACTAGAAAATGCTTGGTTATGTAAAAGGTAGTAGGAAAAAAAGGAGACCTCATTACAGATGGATAGGCTCAGTCAAGGAAACCACAGCCCTGAGTCTTTGGCCCCTTCCACACAGCTGTCTAAAATCCACATTGAACTGGATTATATGACAGTGTGGACTCAGATAATCCAGTTCAAAGCAGATATTGTGGATTATCTGCCTTGATATTCTGGGTTATATGGCTGTGTGGAAGGGCCCTTTGAAGACATGAGTTGAACTATTGAAGATAGGGTTAATTGGAGGTCTCCTGTTCATGGGGTCACTAAAAACTGAGGTTGATTTTGTGGCAATTAACACAACACAAATTGCAGCTTCCCATTTTTCTATTCTCTTTTATCATTCAGATTAATTGAGGAGCCCAATTATCCCATTACTTCAGCATTAGCTGGAGGGAAAACATGGATAACTAGTATCTTACCTCAGGCTGTCAGAGAAGGCTTCCACACCAAACTTGGTTATTGAGTAGTTTCCAGAGCTCACTAGTCTTCCATTTATACTAGACATATTGACCACTCTCCCCTTGGCTTTTCTCAACAGGGGCAGCATCTGCAGTGTCACATCGATCGTACCGAGCAGATTAACATTTATCAGCTTTGCAAAATCATCTTTTGTCAGCCATTCATTGGGACCTGATGGATTCCCTATACCTGCGTTGTTTACCAAACCCCACAGTCCTGTGTGAAGAGAGAGATGTCTTGTTTAGAAATGTTTTTGCTTTATCCCTTACCTTTTTTGGAATATTTTATTTTCTGGCTGAACAAACTTTGATTCTGGGATCATTACAAGTATTCTGTGAATTTTCTGAAAGAATGTTGTACTCTGAGCACCTGATATGAGCATGCATTTGGTTCTCTCTGGTTCAGCTGCAGTTTATTGTATAACCTTTTGTCTCTGTCTTCTCATCCTGTTCTGTTTTAATTATCTAATTTTTCATCACTAAGTGGCTTCAGTCTCAAGCAACAACAGTATTTCTTGGATATGTCACAATGAATATTTGCAGGTTGAAGTGTGTTTGCTTCTACTTCACACTTCCTTCTCTAAAAGCAAATGAAACGAACTGATAATTTCTGGATGAGAACCTAGTGACTACTGCAATTTACAAAGTTGCTATTGCGATGTTTAGACCCGGATTGTGTTTTTCTTGCTCTCATTTTATTGATGAGCCATCAATAACAGGAGAAAATATGTGCAAATCTGCTCACCCTATTTTATCTTATTGTTTAGAAATGTTGAATAAAGAAGGTAAAAATACTGAATGGTGAAAGGTGATCGGTTATGTGTAGGATTCAGGATTTAAAGAGATGCTTCTCCAAAATCTGTTTTCAATTGGCACCACTAAACTTTTCAGGCATTTATCTGTACAGTATGTTTCTGTACAGTTTCTATGGCCTGTATATATTTGGTTTGATATTGAAAGGAGGAAGACATAGTTTACAAAGATCTGCCATCTATTACAATTTTGAGCCTAGCATTTTTTTGTCATTGAAGCTTTTAAAACAGAGAACAACTTCCATACAGGAAGTTTCATGTTGTCAATTTTGTAGTGCAACCTGGTGTTGTCAAAGAGTGAGCCAAGCTCAGCGACTTCTAGCTGAAGGGTAAATATTTGGAATAAGACAAATTGCTGGCCTCAGCCATTTTTTGTGTGTGTCAGTTGTGACTTGAGAAACTGCAAGTCACTTCTGGTGTGAGAGAATTGGTTGTCTGCAAGGGGATACCTGGATGTTTTTGGTGTTTTACCATCCTTGTGGGAGGCTTCTCTCATGTCCCCGCACGGGGAGCTGGAGCTGGCAGACGGAGCTCAACCTTCTCTCCGTGGAATAGAACCGCTGACCTGTTGGTCAGCAATTCTGCTGGCACATTGCGCCACCGGGGCCCCCATGGTCTCAGCCATGCCTGGAGATGATAAATGTATGGAAATCTCTACCTTTGTGTCCAACACATCCTTTCACCCAGTTCATTGCTTCTTTTACACTCTCGGTGCTAGTGACATCCAAAATGGTGGTTTTGAGGCGCTCTGAGGAGATCCTTTCCAGCTCTTCTGCTCCTTTCTGTGTGAGACAAGCTGCCAACACCTGGAGCCCTTGAGCATCTAACTGCCTAGCAAGTTGGTGCCCAAAACCAGTGTCGCAGCCAGTGATGAAAACATATTTATCTGTACGTTTCTCCACATTCTGTCTCTCTCGGTACCATCGTCGAAGGAAATAAAGCCCTAGGAGAGCAGCCAGGTAAATCCACATGTCTAAAATCTGCAGAGAGAAAAAATCAGTGGAAGTGATAGAGTCCCTTTAATTCATGTAGCCATTTTAGTACTAAACCAGTGTCTGCCATCAATAATGGATTGGACAAGGGGAAACATCAAACTGCTCCTAACAAGTTGAAAGGAAGGTTGGGAAATAGGGATTGAGACTTTAATGGATGGGTTATTCTACCCCAGGAATCTCAGGTCCATAGCTAGGGAGTATTGCTGGACCCTGATCTAGGCTTGCATATCTAGGTTTTGTGGTGCCAGGGAGGGTGCTTGTACAAATAAAACTAGTGTATCATCTTTATCCACTCCTTGATATGTTGTATCTGGCCACACATTTGTTGGTTACTTCTTGTTTGGATTACTATGATGTACTCCAAGTGAAGCTGCCTTTGGAAACTCTTCAGAAATATTAGGTCGGAAATACTGCAGCCAGGTTGCTGGTTATGGGAGGTACCTCACACTCCTGTTAAATAAATAATAAACAAATTTTATTGATTAGCCCTTATCACCAAACCGAACCAAACAACAAAGTAACACCCCTGTTGAAACCGCTCCACTGGTGACGCATCCATTTCCAGGCAGAATTCAAAGTGCTGGTTATGACAAATAAAGACCTAGACACATTCCAACTTGTCAATATCTCTCTTGAATTATGGTGTCCTTATGTTTGTCAACTGTTCAAACAAATGAAAAATAAAGAAGGATTTCCCCATGGGCCTGAGATTCTGCTGCATACTCACATAGAATGTATATTTTAGCTTGAAAAATCCCTTATCTACAGCCAGAGTCATATTCATCTTTGTCTCTGAGGTAAATAAAGTTTTCATTTTTATTCAGCAACTTGGAGAACAATTAATATAGGTAAGGTAAAGGTGGTCCCCTGACATTAAGTCCAGTCATATCTGACTCTGGGGTGTGGTGCTCATCTCCATTTCTAAGCCAAAGAGCCAGCGTTGTCCATAGACACCTCCAAGGTCATGTGGCCGGCATGACTGCATGGAGCGCCGTTACCTTCCCGCCGGAGTGGTACCTATTAATCTACTCACATTTGCATGTTTTCGAACTGCTAGGTTGGCAGAAGCTAGGGCTGACAGCGGAAGCTCACGCCGCTCCCCGGAATCGAACCTGCGACCTTTCGATCAACAAGCTCAGCAGCTCTGTGCTTTAACCCACTGCGCCACCGGGGGCTCCAGTATTAAATTGAAGAAAAAATAGATGAAGCAGCATAAAGGGACAGTAAAATAAAGTAAACAGACAAGGGGAAGGCTGGGCTCTCTAGAAATGCAATCATCTTAGTCTGGTTTCGGGCCTGGCTATGGAACGGAAACAGCATTGGTCACCTTGGTGGATGATCTAGGAAGAGAGCTGGACAGGAGGGGGGTGTCCCTGCAGTTTCTCCTTGACCTCTCAGTGGCTTTTGATAGTCCATGCCTTAATCACATCCTGCTTAAACTACTGCAATGCTCCCTACCTGGGGAAAATAGTTCAGAAGCTTCAGAGCGTTCAGAGATCGGCAGCCAGATTATTAACTGAAGTCCCATACAGGAAGAGAGGTATTCCTATGTTACAGCGGCTCCACTGGCTGTCGGTACCCTTCTAGGCTAAATACAAAGTGTTGGTCAACACCTTTGAAGCCCCAAATGGTTTGGGTCCAAGCTACTTGACAAATTCCATCTCCTCTTACAAACCAGCTCAGGCACTATGGTCAGCAGAGGAGGCCCTGCTCCCAGACCCACCCCATCTCAAGTACGGATAGAGGGAACAAGAGAGAGGGCCTTCTCCATGGTCACCCCCACCTCTATAACTCCCTCTCCAAAAGAAATAAAGCTGGCCCCCTCCCTTCTCTCCTTCAAAAAAATGAAGATTTGTCTTTGCTCATTAGCATATGGAGAGGAGGAGGATTAGACATTGAGAAATTACTACTGGACTACCTGGTTGAGAACTATTTCATACTCAGGCTTCTCTAATCTAAATTAGCTCAGTTACTATCACTGGCCATACAACCACTCTGGCCACAAAACCAACCTACACAATTTTCTGAACAATAGTTGGCTTTTGTAAATTTATGTGAATGTTTCACACTCAGATTTTACATTGTTGTATAATTCTTGTTCAATTATATTGGTTTGATTTATTGATGTTAGGTTGTTTTAATATGTGGGGCTTTTCTGGGGTTATAAAGTACTTGTTTGCTTTATGGAGGCATTGAATGTTTGCTGTTGTATGTTGGAATCTGCCATGAGTTCCCCTGGGGAGATAGGGCAGAATACAAATAAAATTATTTATAATCATCATCATCATCATCATCACAGTGGAAACATCAGCTAACCCTGAAAATGAAATGTGACAAGAAACAGCCAGTGTACTTGGCAACATATTTAAGAGGAAAGGCAAGAAGAGTATAGTTACAAGGGCACTGACATATAACAGAGTGCTTATTTAGAACAGGTTAAGGTTACATTTCAAAGACCCACAGCTCTGGTTTAACTGGCAAAGGGGCTGTTGGGAAGGGTTGGAATTTATGGGCACACATGCATTCATAACACAGTGATAATAAGGTTTTGGGTCCTAACATTCAAATGGGGAGTGAGGGCTAGTCAATATCTTAAACAAAAACAGCATAGCATGTTTATAAAGCAAAACAAAAAGTGCCACAAGTGGGATTATAAATCTCAGAGTGAAAATGTCACAGGAGGATGTGAAAAATGAAGAAGCAAGTACTGGTGAGAAGGGAAGGAAACTAGACAAATACGTGATATGCCCCCTTACCTTATTTCAGACTCTTTCCAGTCTGCTCTGCAAGTCTGTGCCTGTGCTCTGTTCACACGCTCTTATCTAAGGCCGTCCCCAAATCTTCTATAACCTATTTCTTTATAGCCTTTTAACGGCCCATATGTTGCTCCTCCCTGTTCCTCCAAGGCACACTTTAACACAATCTACATGCCTTAATAAAAAACTGAAGGCTGTGATAAAACTATAAAAGTTTTTTTTCCAGAATAAACCCAAAGTAAAACGTTTATTACACTGCAAATTCTTTGTTTTTACTGTCTGTGCAAAAGGTTAAAAATGGCACATGAAAGGTTAAAAATGGTGGTTAAAAAACAACAACAAAGTTTCTGGTGTATAACAACTATTTTTAAAGTAAGTACCGCACAATTACATAGGAAATAACACTTCCAAACTAGGAACAGTTTTTTCCCCAGATTTTGTTACAAATACATAGTGATTTGCCTGCCTTCCCAATCTATCTATCTATATAATAAAGGTGAAAGTTTGTATGTGGAGGAGGACAAAAGTGTGGCGGTGTATGTGCTAGCTTTCTGATTGGCTGCCACTGTGGTCTCTGATTGGCCAGCCTGAAATTCCAAGATTCCGATTGGCTGGGCAGCGGTGCTATTTGCATATGGTCTCTGATTGGCCAGCTTCAAGAGGAGCCCCTGGTGGAGAAAAGAGTTCATGACAGAAACGGGGACATGAGAAGGAAATTTGCATATGGTCTCTGATTGGCCAACCTCAATTCCACAATTCCGAGATGACAAAGAGAGGAAAGGAAAAGGCCAGAGGGGGCTGAGTCAGACAATTACCAATACAGACCACACTTGGCACACAGAGCCTGCAAGACCGACTCGACATCCTACTGCAACCATGGATGATGGGACTTGCAGTACCATCACTCACATTCTGAGACCGCTGTTAACCTCATCCAATGACTGATCAGGACCAAACTTGGCACATAGACCTCTCATGACCCACCTTATCCTGGTGTGGTTTGGCCGGGGATGGACCATGGATTATGGGACTTGCAGTACCTTTGCTCAATTCCTGAGACCACTGCAACCCTCATCCACTTACCGATAAAGACCAAACTTGGCACACTGAGTCTCCATGATGCACTCTACATCCTGGTGCAGTTTGGAGGAGGATGCACCGTGGA